AATAATCCTTTCTTTAAAACACAGTATTAGAGGGAAAAACTAAAACATAACTGACTCACTGGTTCTTTGTAATATCTATATGCTTTTTTTATAATCGGAATCCTTTGAGTACAAATAAAATTCCATAAAATATTCCTTTCTTTAAAACACAGTATTAGAGGGAAAAACTAAAACATAACTGACTCACTGGTTCTTTGTAATATCTACATGCTTTTTTTATCAAAAAAAAAATATCTATATGCTTTTTTTTAATCGGAATCCTTTGAGTACAAATAAAATTCCATAAAATATTACTATTTCTTTGTAATTTACTTCTCTTCCCCAACCTTACATCCTTTGGATATGGCCCTCCTTTTTTCCTCCGTTGACTCCATTCATGTCTCTTCATTTCTTCATCTTCTTCTTTTGGTCCGATTTGTTATGGCGGAAGGCGCGCTGGGATGCAGATGTTTAGATCGCAGCTTTATCCTTTGCCTGACGGCCAAAGAGTTGCCTGGCCCTAGAGTGTGGTCGGACGATAGAGATGGATTCGGTATGGACCATTCATGTTCTGACGAGGAAGATGGAGGATCTGGATTTGAGGAAGTGCATGATGAAGAATATGATTCATATTCATTTGCGACTTCACATGATGATGATTCTTCTAGTACCACAACCGAGTCTAGGTCCAACACTATTTCCCCCAATGGAAGGTTCAAAAGGATTATTACTGGTTGGGAGAAGGGTGAACTCCTGGGCCGTGGGTCCTTTGCATCCGTGTACGAAGGAATTTCTCAGTAAGTACAGAGATGCTACCCTTACCATAAAAGCTAAACCTTTTTCCCCATTTATGGTAGTTAGCAGTTACTTCAGTTTAATTGCCATGAAACAATCAGTATTTTATTTAGTAGTTATTATTTTCTACTGACATTAGACTTTTTCAGTTTGGAAATTGCAAAAAAAAAAAAAGTCAGTTCAAACAGCCATAGCTCTTAGGTATGATCTTTTTCTCCATATGCAAGGGTTGTGTTTGTACATACCGGCATTTTTTTTGTCAGTCCAATTGTAGGACACTTTTCTCTTTTACTTTACGTGACTCTTTTCTTGTTACTGATCAGTGATCATGTTTATCCTTTATGGTATGTTTGGGTTGAGCGGAATGAAGGAGGGGAGATGAAGGAAGCCCTTTTCTCTATTTTTTCTCTTTTAATTCATTTACTTATCCAAATGAGGGGAGGGGAATGGAAGGATATTGTATCCTTCCCCATTTCCCTCAACCCAAACATACTATTAGTGAAATAAAGTCGTTTTGTGTTCTTTTTTTGGGATTAATATTGCTTTCCTTATAATTAATTCATTTATTTTCTTACAGTGATGGATTCTTTTTTGCCGTAAAAGAAGTTTCATTGCTTGATCAAGGAAGTCAAGAAAGGGAGAGTATTTTCCAACTTGAGCAGGTGGGTAGCCCTTTCTTATGTCCTCTGCAAAACTTTCTATTTGCCATTTTGTTTAAACGTACATATTCTTGTGCTGATTTCTTATTTTTTAAATTTTATTTCCAGGAGATTGAACTTTTAAGTCAGTTTGAACATGAAAACATAGTTCAGTATT